GCTGGAAAACGTTCATCAACCGCCGCACTGCCGTCAAGAAGATCAACTCCCTGCCGGAGGTGCGCGGCGACCAGCTGAGGAACATCGAGGACGTGTGCGCCATCTGTTATCAGGAGTTCGCCACCTCAGCCCGCCTCACGCCCTGCCACCACTACTTCCACGCACTGTGCCTGAGGAAGTGGCTCTACATCCAGGACACGTGCCCCATGTGCCACCAGAGAGTTTACGTTGAGGAGGAGAGTAGAGACAGAGCCGCCTTTTCCAATAACAACGGGGGCTACGCTCCGCAACAGGACGCCGCCGCTGCGGGTCCGCCGGCACCGGGGGACAATCAGCGAGGACAGCCGGCTGCAGAGCTGCAGGCCAACGGAGTGGCAGTTGGCGCGCAGGCCGCAGGAGGAGCGGCGGCGCTCGACCACGACCTGCTGGAGGACAATGACAGCATAGAGTACGACGAAGACGAGTGGGGGACTCAGAACGGCAGCGCGCTGATAGAAGAAGACTATATCAATGATGACACAGACTCCACAGAGGACTGACGACAGAAGAGCTATAGATAAATAAACATATATCTTTATTATATTTAAGTTAAGAAATGATAAAATACATCTTAAGCATCTTAATTTGCTCTTGAAAAATGTCAGGGATGTCTTTCTCGTTAGTTTCTTTACGTTTTTGAGTTTTACTCTACAAGGGCTCGTGGAAAGAGTAACTGCTGCTCTCGTTCTGTGTGTGTGCGTGTGCGTGTTGAAGCTGTATGACAGACCAAAAAACTCCCAACGACTCTTTTTATCCGACAGCATCTCCGGAGCATCGCGATCCTGATAGAAATCTTTCTATGTGGGCACAGCTGTCTTTGCAGCGTTTATTCCCTGATGCCAATCAGAACGTTTCTAATAAAAATAAATATGAGACTGTCTGCAGCAGCAGATTCTGCCTTGTTGGAGATGGTGGTAGAAGTGTTTTGTTCCAAATGGAGAAAAGAAACAGCTGCACATTATTTTCTTTCTTTAGACTTTGTCACTTATGAGCATAAAAACTTATCTGGTTTGAAATTTAGCCGAGCTCCTCCTTCGGGGTCCTTGTTTTGTGCACCTCTAGAAAGCTTTCAGATTGTCTCTAATGTTTTTTTTCTCATTGCTACCTGGTCTCTCCTGTTCTGACCATTCTGGGTTACCTGTTGCATTTCCTCCAATTTGTCAAAACCATGACTTAAATTTCATTTTAAGGAAGGGAGGGGAGAGCTGAGCTGGAGGCTTTTAGATTCACCAGTCCACTATGCTACAACCCTCACCCTGTGGCCATGACCAAAACAGGAAGATCAAGAATACACGTGCCTCTCTTACATTTGTAATGGGTAGGCTGGCTGGGCTTAGCCTGATGTGTGATTCATGTGTTCTGTTGGCAGCAGAAGCAGTCACAGATAGTACTGAGCAGCCAGTCCCTGTCATTGTGAGCTGCGTTGATGCATTTCTAGGGAGGTGCATGTCAGGTTATGGCACAGGGTCTCAAAACCTTTTGCAGTTACAACTTAGATTAAATACAGATGCATGCGCTTCACTTAAGATAAGAAGCTCGGAGTAAAGCCGCTGCTCGTTCATCTCAGGCTGAGCCTGAGGTGGTTCAGGTGTCTGGTCAGAATGCCTCCTGGACTCCTCCCTTCAGAGGTTTTCCAGACACGCCCAGGTGCGAGGAGTGTTTCTGGTGAGGAGGATGTCTCTTACCACAACCCTCCTTCAGATAATGGTTGGACTGATGTCATGGAAAAAGTTGCAGGGAGGCTAATCTGGCGAGTAGGGTGGGCGGTGGATGATGACGTTTTAGTGAAGGTGGTTTGTGCCACGGACTCTCACGGC